TCTACTAAGGAAGTGTTTTGCATAACTGCACATGTACAACCTATATTGAGTTGCTTGCCTTTTCAATGAGGGTGGGTGGGGAGGGAGGAAGGGAGAAAATTTGGAACTCAAAGTTTTAAAAACACATGTTTTAAAAAAAATGTTTTCACATGCAACTGGGAAATAAGAAATACAGGAAATGGGGGTACAGAAGTCTATCCTGCTCTACAGGAAAATAGAAGGGGAAGGGGATAAGAGAAGGGAGGGGGAGAGATAGAAGAGAAGGCAGACCAGGGGAAGGGGTATTCAGAATGCATGCCATCTTGGGGGGGGGGAGGGGTGAGAAATTTGGAACTCAAAAACTTGTGGAAGTGAATATTGAAAACTAAAAATAAATAAATAATATTTTTTTAAAAAGAGTGGAGGCAGCCACATGGTATACTAACTCCTAATTGCTCTGGGAAACAGCCATACCTCCCCTGCCCACACTGAGACTGTACCCGCAATAAGACTGTTTCCCGTACTACTCGTACTATCATCATATCTTCCCCTTGCTACTATCCCCCACCTCCATTTCTTTAATCCTCATGCCTTCCTTCCAACTCCTGGTGTTTCTAGTGAATATATTCCTAGTTATGGATCTGCAAAGAAGTTAATTGTCTAAGACCACACAAGAAGCAAATGGCATCAGCAGGATTTTAATCAAATCCAGTATCTCTTCCACTTCACTGTCAATTTTTCCACCACTCTTACAGAAGCTAGGGCCCAGGGTCCCTCCTATTCTCTTCCATGTGTGATGGGCAATAGCTAAAAAACTGAAGTTATTAACAGTTATGGGAGGGGGAGGCAATATGGCATAATGGGTATATGATATGTCTATATAGATGAACATATGTACAAATATGACATTTTATTTTAATTATTTAATTAGTTTAATTAATTTGATTTAATTAATTTAATAAGTGTTAAATTGGACTTCGCTCCTGTGATAACTTTAATGTTCCATAACAAATTATTATTATATTTATTATAATTGTTAATAATCATTAGCTTTATTTAGCTATTATTGCCTGTCACATAAAGCAGGAAATTATATTGGAGCCCTATATTCAAAATTTTGGTGCAGACTGCAGGTGGCTCAGAAACATTGTGCTCCTGCCACACAGAAGTAGGTGGCCGAGTCTTTAGACTGGGAGCTTGTAATATGCAGGGAGCTCTCTTCAGCGGTGACATTGAGTGTGGCTTTGAATCTTCCATTTGATTTTCTTTCTTCAAAATAAAGTACTAATATCAATAAGACAAGGCCCTTTCCAGGACGCTGCTTGTACCACCGTATGTTGTTAAAAGGGGTTACCTTGTAACTGCACTTGAGAGTAGAATCTTTCCCTGCCTTGACTTTCAGTATCTGAGGACTCTGTTCCACCTTATTTTGGAATCTTGCCCCTGTTCAAGGAGACAGTTTTATACATAAGACACTGGTAATCAGACCAGAATCTAGAGATGACATCTCTAGAATTCTTTTTTTCTTGCTATAATAGCTATAGAAATCCCCAGAGGAGTCAATCTTAGCTCTTGTCTTCCCCTCCTTGATTTATAAGAAACATTTCCAAGGTCTCCTCCTTTCCATCTCTAGAAACCCACCAACTTACAGACCAACTGAAGCCACAGGATCATTAATGAGATTCTCCAGACCTTCTCCATTTGTCTTCCTCCAAGGGATCAACAAAAATTCGATTCTAGAGTCTGGGACTCTGAGCAGGCATCTTTAGCTACCAAAGAGGCTACATCTCTACCCTGTTTCTTTTCCTGCTTCAGAAAACAGACTCTCAGCCTGGCTAACCAACCAATCAGAGACAAGATCTGTTTTCCAAATACATACCTACTAAGTGAGATGTCCAATGTCTACATTCTGCCGTCTTGGACCAGAAAAGGAAGACGTATGAATAAGGGGGATGGAAGAAGGAACAGGGAAGCAGGAAGTTAATGATATTTGAGCAAACTTATAAGATGTATAGGATTCCAACAAATATATAGTATAAAAGTGGAAGACATTACAAGAACACAGAACAATGGTAACACAGATGTGGTGGGGTAGGACAGTGGGGTGGGATATATATGGTAGACAACCTTGAAATATAATTTTATACCTGGCTAAAATAGTAGAAGGGGAAAGTGACAAATGGTGGCAGGGGATGTGGAAAAATCAGGCCACTAATTTATTGTTGGTGGAATTGTGAACTGACCCAACCATTTTGCAGAGCAATCTGGAATTATGCTCAGAGTTATTAAACTGCCTTTGACCCAGAAATACCATTAACTGGTCTATCTTCAAAGATAATTAGGGGAAAAGGAAAATAACATGTATGTTCTAAAATGTTTATAGCAGCTCTCTTTGTGGTGGCAAAGAACTAGAAATTGCAGTGATGTCCATCAACTAGGGAATGGCTGAACAAGTTGTGGCATGTGATTGTGCTGGAATACTACTGTGGTATAAGAAACGATGAGTGTCTCTATCCACCTCTACCTTTCTTTAGAATACTTAGTTTACACAGTTGCCTCAACTCTAATATCTATCACCTGCCCATCTCCTGAGCTGCCCTTGATTATGATCAACTCTAATGACATATGTAAAGCATTTTGCAGACCTTAAAGCACTATATAAATGTGGTGATGATGGTAGTGGTGGTGGTGGTGGTGGCTCTTCAATATAGTGATGACCTTTATTTGTAAAGATCCTTGCTTTCTGCTTCTCGAGGAAGAGAAATAATGTGTTTAATGAAAGAGACAGAATTAGCATTCTGGCTGCCCTGTGTGATTGTCTGCCTACTCTGTGAACCAGTTCCCTCCAGTGGGCAAGAAAATGAACTGATAGTAAAAGGTTCTTTGAAACCCTCTCTTGCCCCCTTTTCCATTTACCCAGTTTCAGTTCTAATCATCTATACAACCTGTTAAATTTGAAAGGAATATCAGACAATCCCCTCATTTTTCAGATGAGGAACTGAGACCCACGGATGCTGAGTGACTTGCCCAAAGTTACACACAGGTACTAAGTGGCAGAACTAATATTTGGACGCATGTCCTGAGACACTTGGGTGGGATGGTAGAGTACTGGACCTGGAGTCAGGAAAACCTAAGTTCAGATCCAGTCTCAGAGACTTACTACCTGTATGACTCTAAGTAATTGTCCTTACCTCTCTCAGCCTCAGTTTTGCCATTTGTAAAAATGGGAAATAAGGGGAATAATAATAGCACCTACAACAAAGGGTGGTGTGAGGCTCAAATGAGATAACATGTAGACAGTGCTTGCAAACTCTAAAATGCTATATAATACTAGTTATCACCACCACCACCACCACTATCATCATCAGTGCAATTTGGTTAGAATATTGCCTGCATGGAAGAGAATGGGGTGAGATAAGGGAATTTGGAACCAGATTGTCAATGGTCATATATTTCAGGAAAAGGAGCTTGCATTTGTCCTATAAATAATAAGAAGATACTAAAAGAGTCCTTTTTTTATTTCTTTTTGTTTTGTTTTAGCTGGGAATAATGTGATTAAATTTCTACATTAAGAAAATTCATATAGTAGTTTGGTAAAGAATGAGTCAAGAAAGTAGCTCATTCTCTTTGCAGGGGGTGCAGTGCTGGAGTTGTGAGTACTGCATATGCTATCAGACATCAATAATGTCCTGGTTGGTTTTGCTGAGCTGCTAGGGAGGCAAAGGTAAAGAATGGATTAAAGAAAGAAAGGCCTGGGAATACAGAAGAACAGGAGCGTCCTATAATAGTTCAGGGTAGAAGTGAGGATGATATGAATGACCACAATGATATGAGTGGAGAGGAGAGGATGGAGGTGTCAGATATGGGGGAGTCAGAATCAATAGGACTTGCCAATTATTTAACTATGGGGATTAGAGGAAAGTGAGATGGAAGAAGAAAAGTAATTTCAAGATTTCAAGTCTGAGTGACTAGGGAGAATGGTGATAAATATAATGATTTTGTAGCAGGATTGTCACTTTCCTATGTGACACTGAACAAATCGGACTTCTCTGGACTTTGTTTTCCTCATCTATAGACTGAAGAGATAGGCCTAGATGAGCTCTAAGGTCCGTTAGAGATCTAAACCTAGAATCCTATGACTCATCTCAGTGAGTAGATTACATCTGTTCACCAAGTTATGAATGTATTCCAGAGTACCCCAGCTCTGATTTGAAAGCAATCATAATCATGACAGAGAGAGAGAGAGAGAGAGAGAGAGAGAGAGAGAGAGAGAGAGAGAGAGAGAGAGAGAGAGAGAGAGAGAGAGAGGATGATATAATGGAGAAAGAACTGGCTTCAACCAGGAAGGCCTGAGTTCAAATCCCACCCTTGACAAAGTTGACTGTGTGATCCTTTGGGAGCCATTTGACTTCTCAGTGCACCCCCCCCCCCAATTCTGAAACTGTTAGTCATAGAGAAGGTACCAATCTGCATTGGTAGATGGAGTTCATAACCAGGAATACCCTATACCAATGAAATCTAATTAAAAAAATAAGAGAACATAAAAATAGATTCTTTCTTTTGCTGCCTTGTCCCTTACTGCATTGAAAGAAATGTCTGCAAATAGAATGAATTAATTTGGGACATTCTAAAATTACATATAATTTCTTAGACTGTCATGTTTCTAGTCAGACAAGTCAACCATGAGGAGGAAAAAGAGAAATCAGAAGGAGAACAAGGATCAAAGAAAATTACGAAAGGGAAGAAGGGTTATTATTATCATATTTAATATAGTTGTTAGTGTTAGCACACATTATCCCAGACAATGGTCTTAACAACCAGAGCATTTCCATGATTTAAAAAAAAATCTATTATTATTACAACTTCCGCTTTTCCTTCTTCCATTAAATAATATAGTAGCCACTTTTGACATTTCAGAATCTTGCAAATGGTTGACATATACTTCCCACATTTACCTCCTCAGGATATATATATATATATATATATATATATATGTATATATGAATTTGGTACTATTTCCATTTCTTTTTTTAATAAGTAAATTGTAAGTAATTATAAATAATCAGGGCTATAACTAGGGTGGAGTAATAAGGTGCTTGTTCCAGAGCTCCAACATCTACAGGAAACATGCATCCTTTTGGAGGTGTGGGGTAGAGAAGTATGTGTATTTCCTTCCCACAGTGGTCCAAAGAATACCATCCCCATATTTTATCTTCCTCTACTACCTGGACAACACGACCATATTACCTCCTGTGCCACCTCCCGCAGGGTCCTATGCCACAATTCTCCTCTCCTGGTTTCCACCTTTCCCCCAGCTTGCCTTCTTCCTCAATTCATAAGGAAATTTAAGACAGCATTTCTGGGGAAAGAGCAAGTCCTCCCGGCACAATTTCACCCATTGTTGAATTGTCCATTACATTTCCAATGCCATCCTTCTCCTTTCCCCCCTCTGTTAAATACAAAGGAAAATAACCCTTAATTTTCTTCAAACATGAACATTCCTACTTATTATGGATCTGTATATAAGACTGCCATTGAACAGCTATGGAATTAGTTATCTAAACTTTCTCTATTTCAATTTCTTCATCTGTAAAATGAGAGGACTGGACTAGATGATCTCCAATCACCCTCCAAGCTCCAACATGCTGTTTTTTGCTCTGATTTTTCTCCTTCTTAAGTGAAATCATGTGTTAGAATTCTGTATGTGATCAAATGCTTTTCTGAAGCTAAAGAGTTGACAGTTAAATACAACATGAAAGCATCTCTTTTCTGCTTACAAAGGCTGGTTACAATTCAAGGGTTTAGGTTCAGCATCCCCTATAGTCTCTGTCACTGTGTCTACCACAGCACAGTAATACACAGCAGCATCTTCCCTCTGCATCTGGTGAATGACCAAAGACGAGGAGAGTCGTGTGTATGTCATGTTGTATCTTTCCTTCTGAGTTGCCTTTGAACCAGAAATGAGGAGGCTTGGAGCAGATCCCAGGTAGTGCTTATACCAGTAGAAGTAATAAGCATTGGACACAGAGTGGTTACAGGGAATTTCCACCAGAGCTCCTTCAGAGGATACCACAAGAGGAGGCTGAAATACTTGGTTCTTGCTCTCTGCAGCTGGGGAAAAAACAGCATGAAAATGGTGTTTGTGTCATTGTCATTGGGTACCTGCCATCTCTTCTACTAAACTGTAGGCCCTTGGGGGCAGACATTGTGTTTTATTCCTCTTTCTATTCCCTCAGAGCCAAGCAGGATACTTTCTATGTAGTAGATATTTTAAGGATGTTTGCTGAATATTGAATGATACATGAATGCACTGAAATTTAATTTGATAGTAGTCCTTAAAGCACAGTATAAGCAGGGAAAAAATTGAAAATAGTCCCTGGTTTATCAAAGTCCTTACTACAGTCCATATTGGAGGGGGAAAGGATGGGAATTTGGGGGAGAGGAGGTACCAGTGGATAGCAAAAACAGTGTTGGACTTGAACTTAGGAAGTCCTGAGTTTCAATTCAGCCTTAAACACTTACTAATTACACAACCCTGTTCACTCAACATCTCTGTGCCACATTTTCTTCATCTGTAAAATGGGGATAATAATAGCACCTACCTCCCAGGGCTTTGTGAGGATAAAATAAGATAATATTTGTAAAAATACTTTGCTAACCTTAGAGCACTATATAAGTGTTAGCTATTATTGTTACTTACCTCTCGAAAGAGAGACCAAGAGAAGCCCAGTCAGCACTTTCCCAAAAGTTCTTTCAATACTCATCCTTGGAAATTTTGGCCACAACACTCTAGTTCCAAATACAGCAGGCAGTTACCTGAGTAATAAAGATAGCTACTTTCCACTTTTGAAATTTTCTATCTCCGCCAATCAACCAATTTGTCACTCCCATCTACTATTGTATATAACTCAATGCATTTGAGGTTCTCTTGGTGTAGATGGAGTTTATTGAGAGTCTTTTCATGTTAATGCAGCTGTCACCAATCAGAGGGGAAGTAATGCACCATGTGTAATCAGACACGTTTCCTGTTTCATCCAGCAGCTACAAAAACACACCTATTCAATAAGCAGTTTTCCTTTAAGACTGCTGAGAATGTATCAAAGCAACAAGTATTTATTAAAGTGCAAGTACTTAGACTGAAACAATCCTTCCAATCAATGGGCTTACATTCTAGTGGAGAAGACATCATATGTATGTTATATATAAATATATATATATATATATATGTATGTTATATATAAATATATATATATATATATATATATATATATACCATAAGCATAAAGTTAATAAAAATGAGCATATTAAAATTAATTAAAGGTCTTTGGGAGGGAAGCCTCTGGTCACTGGGGGAGATGGGGATCGGGAAAAGCTTTATGCCAGAGATGATACCTACACTGAAAGCAAGTATGCTACATTGCACGGATGTTCTGATGAAGGTGTTAAAATGCCTCAGTAATACTAAGTACAGAAACTCTGAAATAAGGGCAAATTCATGTTTCTCAGGAATAGTTAGGTAGTCAGTTAGGTAGTACAGTGGATAGAGCACCTGGTCTAGAGTCAGGAAGACTCATCTTTCTGAGTTCAAATCTGGCCTCAGACTCTTACTAGCTGCACGACCCTGGACAAGTCACTTAAATCTGTTTGCCTCAGTTTCCTTATCTACAAAATGAGTGAAAAAAGGAAATGGTGAGCCACTCTAGTATCTTTGCCAAGAAAATGCCGAAGGTGGTCACAAAGAATCAGACACAACTGAGATGACTGAGCAGAAGAAACAGTTCTGTCCCAGGAAAGTTATTCTTAGCAGAGAGGCGATGAGGTTTAGTGAAAAGAACACTGGACTTGGAGTCAGAAACCCATTCTTCCTCTCACTATTTGTGTGCCTTTGGACTACTCATTTAACCTTCTGTGCACCTCTTTTTTGTTACCTGTAAGATGAGGATGGGGCAGTGTGTCTTAAGGAATAAAGAGCTAGCCTCAAAGTCAAGAAGACCTGAGTTCAAATTCTACCTTTGGTGGTGTGACCTTAGACAAGTCACTTAACCATTTAGTGCCCCAGGCTCCTCTCTATATGAATTGCACAGCAGGTTCTGTAACCTCAACATGGGTAGGAGGAGTTTCCTTGTCAGTAGTTCTCAATTTGATGAAATCACAATTCCATTGTCAAAACAAAGGAGGAGGATAACTCTTGCACTCTTTCTGGAATAGGATTGTTGTCCTTGGTAACCCTTACATTACATAAATGCACCATCCATAATTTTCCACCCACATGTTTAAGTTGTTATCAGTATTGAAGTCAAGTACAAACACTGAATGGTAGCTTCTTGTCCCTTAGAAGAAACAAGGCAACCAAGAAGTTTTTGAGACACATTTCACAGTGTCATTTGGGCATAATTTCCTCTTTTAATTAGTGCCTTTAACATACCTTTTTCATTACCACCTAATATATTTAGCTCGCTCTATTCATATGCTTTTATAGTTTTACTTGAAAAGTGAAAAACTATGATGATTGGAAGAGGCCATGACAACTCTAAGTAAAGAACCCTATTATGTGTTGCTCTAGACACCATATTTAAGAATGACATTGACAAATTGGAGGATGTCTAAAGGAGGGTGACAAAAATAGTGAGGAAACTTGAAAGTGTTGTATGAGAATCACTTAATGAACTACTGAGATTTAGGCTGTAGAAAAGACGAAATGACGAGTTCGTGACAGCTGTCATGACAGACTTATGTAATATGGCTGCAAAAGGGAGAAATTTACAGAGCCAGGTTTGTGCTTAATGGAAGTAAGAATTTCCTACAAATAAGAAGAAATTCATAGCAATAACTGCCCAACAATGAAATGGACTGCTTTTTGAGGGGGTGAGCTCTGTGCAGGAGGTCTCCAAACAGAGGCTGGGTCAATCAACCAATCAACCAAGATAGGAAATATTTATTAAGCACCAAGGGTCAAGCACTAGACATTAGAAGACCATTTATTAAAATTAGACTAGATGATCTTTCGTGTTCCTTCCATTACCAGGACATGTGAAAATAACAAAACCTGTCCAAAAACAGAATAAGGTTGACCTGGTATGACCTGGTTTTGATTAAGTTATAATGACCTTTTGTTTTTGTTTTTTATCTTACTTTTTCCCTTGGACCTCACCTTGGAAGCTGTAATAAGGTATTTGAACCAAAAAGATGCAATTAACTAAATTTTTGCATTGGAATGGCAGTAAAGAATAAAAATGTAAAACCCTACAGAGAAGAAACGGTATATGCAGTCCAGTTCAGTGGTGAAATGAGAACACTAAACTATACATAAATATCACTGCCAGCCACATATTCACTTAGAAAACCACATATTAACATTATCTAAGTTCTATTGCATTTTTACTTATTTGTTAAATATTTCCCAATTACATTTTAATCTAGTTTGAGTAGCACTGGTGACTATTGCCCCTGCAAAATCCCCCAAGGACTGTGTGTTTAACACCTCTGGTCTAGCATAGCAACAGCTTCAAAAAAGTTTGATGACGTTAAAGATGATTTCTGAGTAGGGCATTACTCAAATGGAAAAAATGCAACTCACAGAGGAATTTAATTTTTACTTGGAAATAGTCTGGATACTGAGTGAAGGTGGTTCTTAATTCAATGAGGAAATCTTTGTTAAAGAAATCTTGGTTTAATTGACTGCACCAAATCAGTTCCATAAATACAAAAATTAAAAAGTTGACAGTGGTTGAACAAGGAAGATTAGATGACCATCTGGGAGACAGAAGGTACAATGAATTCTTGTTAAGTTAAGAATGAGACCAGGTATCCTCTAATGTCCCTTCCAGTTCCAGGATTCTAGTAATCTTTCAAGAACTTTTCATATTCAACACCACCCCCTAGTGGGTGATACATGAACGGATGGCAAATTATTAGGCTTTCTTTGAGCTTCTCAAAATCTTATAAACACCAAAGATAAAGGTCATATTCGTAAACAGTGTCCTGGGGATGATACAAATTTAGGTCATATATATTCCATGCCCTCAAGGAGTTTGCTCTCTAATAATGGGATATAACTTCAATATACTGATGGATCTGTGATTGGATCAGCCCATTAATGAGCAAGTATTAATTAAGCACCTACTATATGCCAGGCAATTATGGTACTTCTTTCAAAGGTGTAGCTTGCAATCTATCTATACTTAATCATGCTGTACCACTGTATTACCCATGTTATTCCACATATCTTCTCCAGGAGTGCCCCCAGAATAATGTGAACCTTCCTCTAAATCTCAACTTGTGTGGATGCCAATGAAGCATATGGACTATTTTCCAGGTAAACTGCAATTTTAAATCTAGAACTACAGAATTCATTACCTCACAGCCATAGTGTCATCAGAAACATATCAATTTTCAAAAATTAGACCATTGTTTCAGAAAGAAACAGTACTTGGTTTAAACAAACTCATTCATAAAATCTTATGGAGGGTAGTAGAAGCAATTGAGAGTGAGCAGTAAACAAAGAGAAGCAATGGAGATAAAACAACTTTAAAGAAAGCTTAGTGAGGGACACAATAAAGCAAAAACACATAAGGGGAGTTAAATTATATAAACGGCATGCCAACAAATAGAAATTTGGATTTCATCTTAGAGGTTATAAGGAATCGCTGAAGCTTCTTATTCTGGGAGTGATGTGGTCAACTTATGTTTTAGCAATAACAATTTGTTAGCTATATGGAGTATGGATTGGAGAAGTAAAAGATTTGAAGAAGGAATACCAGTTAGGAGGCTAATGCAATAATCCAAGTATGACACAATGTCATTGCAATAATACATTCAGGTCAAATATTTATATGGTTTAAAGTACAATGGTAATCAGAAACAATTTCAGAGTTATCAATGCAGCCCAGCTCCCCCGACAACTTAACTCTAACAAAGATCAAAAAGTCTACTAGACCAATTAGTAACTGGGAAATGTAAGGAAAAATCACAGTGGATCATCTTTCCAACCCAAGATCACACTTAACTCACAGGCAAGTGATAAGTGCAGAAACTGTGAAATAGAGGAGGATCAGGATTGACAACTCAACACTTGGGCTGAGAACAGGGCTAGGTTAGCATAGTGCTATTACTCTGACCCTAAAACAGGATCTTGGACTCAGACCTGGACTTAGAACAGGGTCACAGAGCAGCTGCTCTGGTCCCAGGGTACAGTTGTGGACTAGAGTTCAGAACAGAGTTAGGCCAACACTGACTAGCTGAACCGCTTCTCTGACTGGAATCACCTCCAGGCTCATAACAGGAATTTGTATGCAATGTGATCACTCTGAACCTGCTGCCAGCTAGCTGATGGGGACCAGGGTCAGCAACTTTCTGCTAGAGCCCCCTCCAAGGGCAAGCCTGTAACTATAATGGCTAGTCCCAACTCACAGCTCAGCACAAAGAGGTTTAAAATATTACCCAAATAAAAGATTACTTGAAAACTAGATTAGACCAAACTGAAGTTAATGAATCTGTGAGACAAAAAGAAATATTAAAACAAAGTCAAAAATTGAAAAAAGAAAATTAAAGGTATAGTATATATTTTTAAAAATTGACCCTCAAAACAGATCAAGAAGAGATAATTTAAGAATGATTAAATTCTCTGAAAGCCATGACCAAAGAGCCTAGGTATCACATTGAAATAAATCATGAAAGAAAACTGTCCAGAAATATGAGAATAAGAGGGCAAAATGAAGATTGGAAGAATCCACCAATCACCAGCTGAAAGAACCTCCTCCTCTCAAAATGGCCAAAAACTAGAGCCTCCAGGTTAAAGGGAGGGAAATTCTATAAGTAGCAAAAAATGAAGAAACCAAAGTCAAAATCATACAAAATTTAGGAGCTACCATCATAATGAAAAGGAGAGTTTGATATACAATATTCTAAAAAGTAAACAGTATATGTTTATAACTAAAAATAACTTACTCAGCAAGCATAATCCATACTTATTTATACTAAATTTTCTGAATACAATTCTGCAGGGGGGAAAAATGGGCCTTTAATGAAATAGAAGATTTCCAAACATTCTCAATGAAAACACTAGAGCTTAGCAATATTGTATTAAGATCAAGCGTGAATGTATTGTCAGCAATACAGTGATCCCAGACAATTCTAAAGAACTTATAATGAAAAATGCTACCCAGCTCCAGAGAAAGAACTGGTAGAGTCTGAATGACACCACAAAAAGAACTGTTATAAATATTTTTCTACATACAGGACCTTTTTCTCTTTCTTTGATCTCTTTTATTTATAGGCCTAATAGTAGTGTAGCTGGGTCAAAGGGGAGGTACTATTTGGTGTATTATTCCAACTTACTTTCCAGAGTAGTTGGACCCATTCATAGATCTACTGATGGTATATCAATGTGCCTTTTTTTTTTTAGGCAATTGGAGTTAAGTGATTTGTCCAGGGTCATACAGCTAGTAAGTGTCAAGAGTTTGGTCTGAGGTCAGATTTGAACTCAGGTCCTCCTAAATCCAGGGCTGGTGCTCTATCCACTGTGCCACTTAGCTGCTCCCGCCTTTTTTTTTCTGAAGCTCCTCCAACATTTTTTCAGCTTTTTAAATCTTTAACAATCAGATTGGTGTGAGATGGTATCTCAGAAGTGCTTTAATTTGAATTTCTTTAATTATTGGTGATTTGGAGGAGGAATTTTTTCCCCCACATGGCTGTAGACAGTCTGGGGTTCTTCCTTCGAGAGTTACGTCTTCAATTCTTCAAAGGGTGTAGTGTTCCACATCACATTTCAACGTAGCGACGTCAATAAAACGATAATGTTCATAAGCCAGAAGTTTACTTTTGTGGAAAGTTTGTGGTTAGTAAAACAGTTCCCTACTAATACCTTTGACAAGGATGAAAGCCTCCCCACCTTCTAAACATTCCATTTACATTATTATTATTATTATTATTATTATTATTATTATTATTATTATTATTATTATTATTCATTAACTAAGATTGAGGAAGCAGGTAGTAATTGGTTAAGGATCTTTTACTACGGGGGCAAGGGAGAATTCACAATTTCCATTAGCACTCTTATTCTCATTCTCTTCCCTTATTTTCCTAGTCTCAGTACATTTTCCAGAGAGACCACCGGATCAAAGACCATACTTCCCACCTACAGACCTTTTTGTCTCTATTCCCATAGTATTGTCTCTTTAACTTGTGCTACAATTTAGTCCATAAATCTCCAAAAGCACATTTGTATTTGTCTCTATTTACCGAATGTTCAAAAATAATTTTGTTTACTTTTTCTTATGCTAACAACCCTTAGTTTATGAAACTATTAGCAAGAGCCAGGGAATACTTATCCTGACAATACCTTATGTTTCTCTGCCATTCTTTTTAAGCCCTCATTGAGCTAATCCTACATGGTCTTTCTCCAGCCCCACTCTTAACTCCCATTGAGAAGAGTCTCCCATATTCAACCAGAAGTAAAGCATCTTTAAAGTGTTAGACTCCCATATCCAGCCATCCAACTTGTTCAGGATCACCTTCCTGTGTATCACTTATTCCTCATAGAGAGGTAGTGTAGGTGGCATAGTGGATATCCACAGTAGATAAGTGCAAGGATTCTTAAATATGGTTTTGAGGACCCCATTTCTATTTCAGTTTGAAACCACTGGTCCAGATCAATTAAGTTCCTAGGCTAGGATGGCCTCCTTCTCCTTTAAAGAGAAACCATCCCAGCCTATGGAAAACAAATACAACTCCTAGCGCTTAGTGTAAGAATGTAAAAACAAAAAATGACTTTAAAAAAGAAATATAAAATTATAAACCAGTAATAAAAATTCACTAAGCAAATTATTTTATTTCATTTTAAATGGTTTATTTATTTCAGTACTTTAAGGATCCATTATTTCACTGGTATAAATACATTCCCCCTGCCACAGATCATAAATTCTATACCTGAATAAAGTCTTTGTGAATTTCTGATATTGGAAAAATTCAACCTTTGGTGGCCAATATTCTGGTGATAAGCCTGTCTAGACTTAACTATGCTGGCCCTTAAGCAACAGACTCATTGCTAGGCCTGTGTTTGAAACCTTGGTAGCTCAGTAGGACTTGTTAGAGATTGCATTCTACATAGCTTTTGAGAATGAATGAAAGAATGATGATTTTTTAATGTACCTACTATGTGCTAACCACTGTGCTCGATGTTGGAAGTAAAAATATAAATACGAAACAGTTTCTCCCCTCAAGAACCTTACATTCTAAATAGGGAAAGACAACATATATAGAAGAGTATAGACCAAGGTAATATAATTTGGCCTGGGGAATTGGTCTATTTCCAGAGAAAGAAGTGTAAAGAGGATGTGGGGGTCTGCATGTCAGCTGCAAGGACGATGGCAAGATGTATGGGGTAGATAAATGGAGGGGATGTGAAACATGATCAGGTCAGCTGGATATAGTGGGTTAGATGAGTTTGCACTCACTCATTGAATTAGGCAGCTTACACTGGGCAAAATTCCAAAGCTGAATAAATCAACTCTGCCTGGGAAAGGGCAAATGGTTTCAGGATGTCTGTTCTAGAGAATACTATTCCAGGTAAGGAGAAGGAGAACACGGCAGGCAGAGCAGATGGCAAGATATGAGGGGTGGATGGATGGATGGATGGGTAAAGACCTAGGGTCACCTCCAGTGTATATTGAGGCATTGGAGTAAGACAAGTAGAGGAGAAAAATTATTTTAAATTGTTTGAAAATGTTTCTGTGAAGCTTTATTCCCACATGGGCAAATCTCCTTGTTCAAAATCTACAAAGGATATATGAGCATTATGTACATGATGAGTCAGGAAAATTGCATGTACATAATTAGTACATCATTATGGATGTGACATATAAAGTGATAAGGGAACTTCACACTCTCCAGTGACATTGTTTAGTTCTTGAAGGCAGAGAAATACACTTACCAGTAATTTTAAGAATCAGGTGGGTGGTTTGTTCCTAGCAGGGGTGATGTTTCTATTGTTGAATAAATAATAATGATATGATTGCATATGGATTGATATGGGTAACTCTAATTTCTGTTACTAATCACACATAGTACATTACAATTCCTACAGCTTGCCATAACCTTCTAGTCATGGTCTGAGGACATTTAAGGTTTTCTTTTTCTTCTTTTGACTGCTGATGGTGTTAGGAAACAGAAGACTTCAATCTTCTAAACAACTTCTAGACAACTAAACCCTGACAGACAGTTACAGAAACTATCTGATTCCTGAATCAAGCCCACCATATCCCAAGCAGCAGCAGCCAGTATAGTGTAGAAAGTGCAGTGAAAGACTGAGCAAATTCTCTCTTCCTGATGAACTGAGGGAATGAGAGGAAATTGACTATCTAGCTTCCCTTTCCCATGGAAATAACACAATAATGGAGGTGGTTGGTAAGAAGTTAGACTCACAACTTCTCATCTCTGGAAAATTAGGAAAAGACCAGGTAACTTGCTTGGGCAATGGGAGTTGGAGATATCATTGCTAATACATGTCCTTTATATCACAATGTTTGCTACTTGGAATGAATTAAGTTCTTTCCTACTTGCATGAGGACTAACATGTGTATGCCTAAATAAATGATAAACGTACATGGACCCTCAGATAAGAGAGACCACCAATGAAAAATTATTTTAAACAACTGAGTTTCCTTTCATCATCAGTTCACTAGTAAACTATCAATCAAATTATGTAGTAAAAAAAATTTTTTTTCAGAAATTAATCACCAGCTAGAGTGACTGGCCTACAGTCAGGAAGACCTAAGTTCAAATTCAGCCTCAGACACTTACTAGGTGTGTGCCTCTAAACAAATCACTTAACTCTGTTTGCCTCAATTTCCTCATCTGTAAAATGAATTGGAGAAGGAAATGGCAAACCACATTGCCAAGAAAATGCCAAATAGAATCACAATGATTCCAACATGACTGAAACTGCTAAACAACAGCAACAGCAGCAGCACGAGGATTAAATGATTTATTAACATATCAGGATCTAAGAGGAAATGGGGGATTATTAGCAGAATGGAGACGATAAACTAATGGAAATATTTGGTCCAGGGTGTGATAGGGGAAACAAGTTACCCTTGATAGGAACCACACATCTTCTCCAGGCACTAGCCCCCCAGCATATGAAGTAAACTTCATTGTTGGAGTCCCCATGGTAGGGAGTGAGGCAGGAGCCCCAGGTGCAGGGATTATGCACAGGTTTCAGATGCCTGGGGAGCACTGTGTTTAGCACATATGTAGGTGGCTGAGTCTTCTGGTTGGGAGGCTGTGATATGTAGGGAGCTTTGCTGGTCTTCAATGTTGAGAGTGACTGCTAATCTTCCATTCTTCTTCACTTCCCCATTTGAAGTCAAAGTAAATAAATACACCAGGCTTTTCCTTAGATCCTGCTTCAACCAATCTAGGTAATGTGAACTTCTGCTTGAATAATTACAATAGAAGGTAGCATTGGCTCCCTCTTGAATAGTCAGGGTTCGTGGGCTCTGCTCCACGGAATCTTTGCTGTTCACCCCTGTTCAAAAAGACAATGACAGGTACAAGAGATCGTTATTCAGCATTTTCCATACTTTTTCTTTCATTTTCATACACCCTTAGGAATCCCTGGACTGAGTCTTTTCCTCCCCCCACATCCTTCTAGGAAATGACAGCTAGCAATCTATTTTCCCACTTCAAGAGACCCCAAACTTACAGCTCAGATGAAGAGAGAGAATCATTAATGCAACAATCAAATGTTTCTCCATTTCCCCCACTTTTTCTTAATAGCCCTGAGCACTCAGTTTTTTCAGCCTGGAATGCCAGAGTCCCACAGTCAAAGTGTCTTTTCTTCTGCCTTAGTTGTCTCTTTTTCTTCTTCCTCTTCTTCTTCAAGACACCTGGGGATTTTCAACCTTACTTCTGTCTGGCCAATCACAGCTGTTTGTTATCTCATATACTACATGTATTCAGAACTTCCCACTCTGCAGTATAGCTATGATATTCAGGGAAGGCAAAATGGAAGCATTGCCCCCTTCTAGCCAGATAAAGAATGACTAACAAAATCTCTTCCCTCCATTGCCCCCATGAATCCTTCCAAATAAACACATTTTTGGAGGGGTTAAAACTGTCAGTAAATGACCATAGTAAGTGAGCAAAACACAGGAACAGAGTGTAATATTGATATCAAATAAAACTTTCACCCAAGAAAATGTGATATCTTTAATCCCATACATGATCATTTTTTTTCATATTGCACAGTACAGATGTGTGGAAAGGAGTTCAACAAATAATTAATTAGTTAATTCTTAGTATGAATCTGTGAATTTGTGATTATGGATACTCTCTTTACAACCCTTTCACACCGTATCTGTGAGAACTTTTTGCCCATGTCTTTCCATAAATCCTCCATTAGAGAACTACTTAAAATGCTGGAGGACTAATTTTGCTTTTTGTCTTTGAGGTAAAAATGCATCTGTCAGACAAACTATCTGCTGTCCCTTGTCCTTGCTATGTCTTCTTTTCCAGTCATGCACATCTCTGATCAGGTCACTTGTACTACTTTATATACAGAGTTAGAGTTAAGAGGTACCTTAGAGATCACTAATTGATTCCTTCACTTTACTGATGAAGAAATGGAGAAATTACACAAGTTAAGTGACTTGTCTGTGTCCACACAGTTAAAGGTATTAGTGTGAAGTAGCAGAAAGGTTGGGAATATACATAGGAATAATTCAATCATAGAATCACAACTTAGCTAATCTGGTCCTTGGGTAATAGGCATATAGTTTATCAGTGGGTCCATATTAAAAGCCTTTCCAGCTTTGTTGGAGCTGCCTGAGCTGGCATAGCAATCAAGAAAGAACCCAATGTCAGCTGGATCTCATACAGTGAGGATTAGGGGAGTATGGAAAAATTTACTTGTTGCATCAATGGTTAAGAGTTTATGACCAAACAATAGATAGGGAAAATCATGGGAAATTAAAATTGATGATTTTGGTTACACAAAATTAAAAAGGTCTTGCACAAATTGAAGCCAAAATTAGAAGGAACCTGGGGAGAAAAAAAGCACATCACATTTCTTTGATAAAGTCTTATTTCTCAAGTATATAGGGAACCAAGCCAAATTTATAAAAATAAAAGCCATTTCTCAATTGATAACTGGTAAAAAGATATGAACAGGTAGTTTTCAAAAGAAAAAATCAAAGCTATCAAAAATGCTTTAAATTGGAAATTATATTAGGGAAATACACATTAAAACAACTCTGAGATACACATCATACTTATCAGGTTGCTTCAGATGACAGAAAAGGAAAATGACAAATGCTGAAGGTGATGTGAAAAACTTGGTACATGAATGTACTCATGGTGGAGCTGTGAATTGGTCCCACCATTCTGGAGAATGATTTGGAACCATATCCAAAAGGCTATAAAACTGCATCTACTCATTGACCCAAGAATATCACTACTAAATCTGCATCCCAAAAAGATCAAAGAAAAAGAAAAGGGACCTAATTGTACAAAAGTATTTGTAACAGCTCTTTTTGTGGTGGCAAAGCATTGGACATTGAGGGGATATCCATCAATTGGTGAATAGTTGAACAAGCTGTGATATATGATTGTGATGGAATACTACTATGCTATAAGAAATGACAAGAGTAAAGGTTTCAAAAAAAATTGTGAAGACTTATATGAACTAATGCAAAGTGAAGTGACCAGAACCAGGAGAACATTTTACACAGTAACAGCAACATTATAACAATGATCCATTATGAAAGACTTGGCTTCTTTAATCAATGCGGTGATCCAAGACAATTCCAAAGGACTCACAATAAAAAAAAATGCTAACCACCTCCAGAAAGAGAACTGATGAACTCTGAGTACAAATAGAAGCATAATTTTTTCACTTCATTTTTCTTGCTTTTTTTTTTCAACATAGCTAATATGGAACTATGTTTTTTCATGACTTCACATGTATAATTGATCTCATATTGCTTGCCTTCTCAATGGCCGGAGAGAGGGAGAAAATTTAAAACTCAATTTGTTAAAATGAATGATAAAATAAAGTATGTTTTAGAAAGCAAAGATATGGGTTTTGCAATAGAGAACTGTTTGGATCATTGAAAATATAATGCAGTTTCTCCAATGCAATGATGATCATATCTGCCTAACACTCAGCTCTGGGCCCAGTTCATTATCCACCTTCAGGGATAGGTGCATCCAGGTCACTACCATCAAGGCCATGTGGACATATTTTCCTTCCAACTTCATGTTATAGTCTGGGCAATATCATATCATAATCTAATGGGTCATAAGATTTAACATTAAAAGAGATCATTCAGATCATCTAATAATACAACCCCCTCATTTTACAGAAGAGGAAATTGAAGCCTGGAAAGATAAAGTAATTTGCCAAGATGGCACTGGTAAGTAGCAAAGACAAGAATCAGTCTCAGGACTCTGACCCCAAATTCAGTTCTCTGTCTACTCTTCCCTGTGCCATATTTTCTCACTTTGTTTTTTCTCAGGAGAATAGTTAGACCAATTTTTTGTCCTATTAAGGATTTAATGGGGTCATTTGGTAGATGATTATTTTATTTTTTTGATCACAGCAACAAATGAACACATTGAACAAGAAAACAAAATATATTTCAGGTTAACTAGAAGATCAGATTGTTCTAAAATGCACGAAAGTAAGGTAAAATTGGTGTCCTCAATGCTGTTTGGAATCACAGTTTCACATCTGGAAAGATACTTAGATGCATCAATTCAAACCATTTATTAGCAATAGTTCTCCAGTAGATCAAATAAGACAATATTTTTATAGCACTTAGCATAATACCTGACATATAGCAGGCAGTTAACAATGCTAATTCACTTCCCCCTCCCATCACCTGCTCAACTCTGAACCACCTTGCTTCTTCTAGAGTTTGGTGGTCTGTTTTGAATAATCAACTATTCAAAACCACAGCCTGAGTCCTTGCCAATATCTTTTTATGCCATGCCATGCAAATGCTGTGAGGATTCAGAAGACGTTGAATTAAAATAGAAGAGAAAGGCAAATAATAAGGAATTGAATCAGGCAGTAAATGTTCTCTGTGCCTATACCCCAAATGACTTCTATTTTCCATGGCATCAAGGGAGTGATAACCAAATTCTTCCTTAATCCTTCTATTTTTCCACTATATAGAAAGTAGGATAAAGTCAATTCCAACACGTTACCATGGTGAGGTTAAGGTCTAATGCCAACTTCCTCCTTACTTTCTTTTCTGACAGTTTCAGCATAGCTAGCTAGTGAGTATTGCTGCCACAAGGATGGATGAACATGAAAGCTTCTTGGCTTATCATCACATCTTATCCTGGCCATACTGCCTAGGGTCTTCTACATAGATGTTCATGGAGTTGTTACTGGCTTTAGAATTGAGAAGAGCTCTTAATCTTTTCATTTTTCATCTTCATATGAGAATGAATGAAAAAATGAATGAAAAAGTATTAATTGTTTACTAAGTGCCAAGCACTGTGCTATGTACTGGAGATACAAAGACAAAAGGAAGGACAATCCCAGTCCTCAAGTAGCTTATATTCAAATAGGGGAGATAACACATATAAGAGAGTGGTGACATGGGAAGAATATTTGGGTTTGGAAAATTACAAAGGTGGTGAGCAGAGTCATTGGGGAGCAGATTGGCATGCCTTTTCTAAAAGTAATGACAGAAATGGTTTTATTTTATTATCTAGAACTAAAAAAACAAAGCGGGTGTGAGTGGATAGTGTACATGGTTGTGGCAGGACTTAAATGTAGTGGGCAAATTAATTGACTGCCCAAAATGACAGTATAGCCCTACACAGCAATTCTAGCAATGAAAAGAGGAAAAATTCTGCATCGAATTTCTCAAAGGTTTGACATCCATGATATATAAACAACTAAAAAGTAATTATATGTAAATATATCAATATATAACATATATATGAAATAACATTTATATGTTATCCATATCTGCATATGTATAAAACTTATATGACATATATAGGTAATATAGATAGATAGAAATATATATCAAAAAGCAAATCTCCAATATATAAAATTATATAAACCACCAAATTCTCAAAATAATAATGACAAGATATTAACAACTATTAGTGCCCCAAATAATGAATAAGAGAAATGCAAATCAAAACAACCCTGAAGTTTTACCTCATACCCAGAAAATTATTGAAAATGGAAAAAAAATGAAAATAGACAAATTATGAAAAGATAAATACACCAGGACATTGCTGATGGGGCTGTTAATATGTAGAATCATTTGGAAAAGGAATTTACAATTACTTAAAGTGACTAAAATATTCAAACCCTTCAACCCAGATATTGTATTGCTAAGCATATACCCCAAGAAGGGAACTGATTTTTTAATGGCCCCAAATACATCAAAATTTTTAGCAACACTTTTTTGTTGTAGAAAAGAATTGGAAACAAAGCAGTTGCCCATTGGTTGGGGAATGACTAAATAAATTGTGATACCTGAGTGTAATGGAATATTACTGTGCTGTAAGAAATTATAAACATAATGAAGAGCATGGAAAGATTTACATGATCTGATGAGTGGAGTAAGTAGAACCAAGAAATCAATATAAACAGTTACTACAATAACGGAAATAGAGAGAATAACCATAAATCAACCAAAAGTGAATGTTGCAAAATTATAAAGAGCAAGGATGGCTATAAAGAAGAGATATAAGAAGACACCTCTTCTCACTCCTTTGCAGAGGTGGGAGGTTCACAGATGTGGTACTTTTTATATACTTTCAGACTTTTTCAACGTACCAATCAATTTTTATGACATTTTCTCTTTTTTCTATTTAAAAATTA